TCCTTAAAAAAAAAAGAGCAACAATATTTAACTTTATTTCACCGCATGCAAATTTTTGAAGGTGGTATATTTCATTTCAAATTATAAACTTCAAGTTATTAAAAAAATAATAATAAAGGCCAAGTGGAGAAGGTAACAAATCACAAAAAATTATAATCAGGTTCTTTACCCTTTTAGGGGGTTTTGACTTTCATTGTACTCTAAATAGTCTTACTTTAACATATGAAGTAAAAACAAAATTGTTTTGAATTCTCTTAATGGGAGATATATTAAGAAAAACATCAACGCTATGTGAAAATTGAAAAAACTGATAATGGGTTGAACTAGTGGTAATAGTATATTTTCTATTGCAGGAATGGAAATAAGTAGTTATCCAGGCATGTTGGCACTTTTAAAGTGATAATGAATGGTAAACTAATTTAGTTACATGTATTTCGACAATGGTTATTAATCTTGTAATAAAGCAATATTTTATTCATTTAACAAAATCTTATTTGGAAAATATATTTACATCACAAACTTGTACTCAATGATTAAAGAACACATTTATGATTGATTAATGTCAACCTTCTATATACTAAGCTACCTACGTCTTAAATCTTGTCAAGTTAAGTTTTACCAGCAGTAAGATTTCTTTACCCATTTTAAAATGTTTTCTTTAAGTTTTACTAACTTACTTGCCATTGCTTTAATTAACATATTTGTTGAACTCTACTAAATAAAAACAACTTTCTACTAAGTCTTTGTCTCAGTGCAAATATCGAGGAAAATGTAGTTTGTTTTAATAGAACACACACTACTGGTACATTCCCACCCCGATATTTGCACTGAGACTTAGAAGAATTCTTATTCTTGAAAAGAACTATTATTTAGAACAAGTCACTAATATTTAAACCCATAACTTGACATCTACCACTTTACAAACAAGTCATTAATATTCAAACCCATAACTTGACATCTACCACTTTACAAACAAGTCACTAACATTTAAACCCATGACTTGACATCTACCACTTTACAAACAAGTTACTAACATTTAAACCCATGGATGTCAAGTCATGGGTATAAATGTTAGTTATAAATGTTTGTAAAGTTGTAGATGTCAAGTTATGGGTTTAAATATTAATGACTAGTTTGTAAAGTGGTAGATGTCAAGTCATGGGTTTAAATGTTAGTGACTTGTTTGTAAAGTGGTAGATGTCAAGTCATGGGTATAAATGTCAGTAACTTGTTTGTAAAGTGGTAGATGTCAAGTCATGGGTTTAAATGTTAGTGACTTGTTTGTAAAGTGGTAGATGTCAAGTTAAGTCACTAACATTTAAACCTATGACTTGACATCTACCACTTTACAAACAAGTCATTAATATTTAAACCCCATAACTTGACATCTACCACTTTACAAACTAGTCATTAATATTTAAACCCATAACTTGACATCTACAACTTTACAAACAAGTTACTAACATTTATACCCATGACTTGACATCTACCACTTTACAAACAAGTCACTACCATTTAAACCCATGACTTGACATCTACCACTTTACACACAAGTCACTAACATTTAAATGCATAACTTTACATCTACCACTTTACAAACAAGTCACTAATATTTAAACGCATAACTTGACATCTACCACTTTACAAACAAGTCACTAATATTTAAATCCATGAACTTCCTCTTGACATCTACCACTTTACACAAGTGTAGAAGGTTAACAATTATAGATATGTATTAAATTCACTTGTTTTATCCCAATCTAATTAACATCCAAGAACCTAGACAACTAATAAGAGGTTTATTTCAACCAGTCAACAAAACTTTTCTTTCTAAGCAGTAAGTAAAATCACTACATGCTATAGCCCACTTCATCATTATTAAATGCCAAAAAAAAGCCCAATATTATCAAATTTACAACTTCCTGTATCATTCCACGGACTTCCCACTCTATCCATACAAGAAAAAAAATCTATTAGTAGATGTCAAACACTGTCATTACTTTCTCAGAAATTTATAATTCCTAACCAGCCAAGTTTACTAAAACCATCCTTTAACTGAAACCTAAACTGTGTACACTGACTGACTTGCATATTAATCATTGAAATGGTTAATACTCTGTAAAATCAATGGTGTCAATAATTTCTAAACAATTTATTTCTAGGTGTCAATTAGTGTAGGAAAAACAAGTTTTGGGATGAAGTTTTACAAACCTTCAAAATAACCACTTTACAACACCTGCATGAAAATAAAAGAAAATTTATTGGTCTATACACCCCCTCTAAACAGCTTTGCATCAGATTTGTTCAAATGTAATCTGGTAGTTAACCAACTTAACAGGATACATAATTTATTCAAACAATATCTTGATTCACTGTGATATTTAATTTTTTATAAAACACCTTAAAGCGATGGCTATTCATTAATTTCTTGAAATAATAATATGTAATCTTGTTACACATAAATAGTACACACTAAAAGCATTGTAAAATGTTTCAAAATTTTCTATAATTTTGTTATTAGAAAACAAATTAAGAATTTTACCCACAATTGACACTGTAGGTCTGCCTACAGATACACTTATGGTGACTACAAAGTCCCCTCTTTTGGCAAAACTAAAAAACAACCAATTTAAAATCTCCTTTTTTGCATGCACTGTGAAATTAGTAACATCGTTTATTTACTGATTACTTTAAAATTCTACCATCAAAATTATAAGACTACGAGCTTCTTACTAAATATTTTAGGTATCTCAAGTGATCACCACAGCCTAAATAACCCTGGTTCCTTTCAGCCTTCCTTATTTGAATGTTACATTTTATTGTGTTCTTAACCTATAAATTTGACTAATTTCTCTCCATATTAAAACTTGTACTGTTTAATGTTTTATATATCTTGTATGTTTTTGTAAAAATTTGAAATTACGTATGATGAGATATGTATATTATCAAATATCCAAGGATAAACATGTTATTTTGTATGGCCATGGCACTCCTTTTTTCTAATTAGATTCCTAGTAGTAACATTGGTCATGCAACACTAATGGATATCAAGACTGGAGAAGGTTTTAAATATGTTGGAGGAAAATCTCAAGAAAATCATATTAAAAACTAATGCTCTTGCTATAGTTACCTCAACAGCACTATAAGGAAGTGAGGCATGGACCCTTACAAACAGATTAAACAAAAAAGTTGGAGTCTTCAAAATAAGATACTTCAGAAGACTTGTGCACATTTCCTATACCAGGCACAGAGGAAACAAGCGAGTTCAAAAGGCAATTATAAAGAAAATCAGTACGTATCTGTTAATATAAACTAAGAAATGAATAAAACACACAGAAGTATGTTTCTAGACTGAACATAATATAAGGTGTAACTTATTCTAATAATTTACTGCATTTATTATTTTAAATTTTACTTCCTTTACATTATATTTTAATATCCTACTTTAAAAAAATGTCTTGTTACTTTTGAACACTACATGGCAGTATAGAGAATATCAAATATGATACAAACAAACAAATTGGATAAATACAATGGTACAGCAATCAAACTCTGTTACCCTTCATCATTAAGTAGCAGTCTGTATCATCTTACTGATCTTCTACAAACCTGTTGGATTGAGAAGCTGAGTCCTGCTCCTCCTTACATACAAAATATTGCACAACATTATTTTATGTCACATAATTTTACTACATTTGTGTAAGGTTAGGTTACATTAGTTTAGGCTAGTTTTTATTATATTATCCTAAATTATGTTATACTATGCTATGTTAGGTTTATGGCTAAGGTGATCTCCAGAAGTTCAACAATGGACAGTAGGCCAGGATGCTTCCTAACATACAAAAGTACAAAACTAGATAGAATTACATGAAAAAGAAAATTTAAAAGCTATTAAAAGCTGTTTGTGAGTTTACAAAGCTATCAGTTCTTTAAAGAGTTAGGCTATTTCCAGTGATTTTATTTACTGTTATTAACTTCTTTATCACTTTACCTAAATTCTAGCAACAGTGGTGAAATTTAAAAGTGAATCCATGAGGTAGAAGCCTAATGCATTCTTTGATTGGCCCGTATCCTCTGCAACATTCAAAGGCCAACCACCCTGTTAAAAAAGTGAAACTGTCTTAGCTGAAGATGACTCCTACCTTGCCAAAATTTATATTTGTGTTCCCTAGTCCTAATATTCTCCCCATTTAGCTTGAAAAAAAGATGATGCATCAATGCTATCAGTTCCCTTTACAATCTTAAATACCTCAATCAGATCCCCCCCATAACTCGTTTTTTCAAGAGAAAGCAATTTGAGAGATTTCAGCATCTCCTCGTATGACAACCCCTCCATCCCAGTAACCCTCCTCTGAACCCTTTCCAACAATTCAATGTTTTTCCTAAGGTAAGGAGCCCAAAACTGAACACAATATTCCAAATGTGGCCTAGAAAAAGATGGTGTGTTAATCGTGGGTCTACTAGAAAAAGGTGGAGTGTTAAATATTGTATATGATATTATTTATAAGCATGAAATATAAGGCACACACTGAAAATAATTATTTTTTAAGTTCGAATGTACTGCAAGTTTATTAATTAGCAAGCTAAGATACTTTTTAATAGAAGCAAGAAGCAGTCAGGCAAGTAATTTAAGGTTTGTGGTACTCGTACATTTTGTACTTTGTGCAATTTGTGGTACTAACTGTTTGAGTCTCTGTGGTAGCATTGGGCTAGTTAGAGAGCAACTTCTGGATAGATGGAATCAGCCACGGAGTTAGCTATTGTGGTTACTTTGTAGAAGTAAATTTATTTGTTTTACTTTACATAATGTCATTTGTAATGTATGCTTACAGTGAATTTACAGTGGTACTAATGTTGAAGTTTGTAAAAACATTAAAGGATGGAATAAAGTAATTTATTAACATTAAGTGGCCTGGTCTTTAAATCATTTTCATCAGATAATTTAATAACTTGCCAATGAATGAAAGACACTACTACAATATCATTTACACCAAATGGAATGATAAGGGACAAAGAAGGCAACATTTACTCAGAGGTAAAATAACAAAACTACATGATTTCTCCAATTTTTAAGAATGACACATATTATATATTTTTTATTTCAAATATTTTGTATGTTATTTTCAATAGGTTTTATCAAAACTTTGTTTTAATATTTTACTCCGAATGATTCTACGCTTTAGTGTCACCTAATTACAGTAATGTCCAATAGAAGGTAGGCCCATAAACTACACTATCATTTCGAAATTTGTGATTTTAACAAACATTTTTAATTTTGAATACTGATTACACTTTACATTGAATTTGAAATATTATTATTATAGCTACAATGTTCTCTCAGACTTCTGAATGTGTACAGATTAACATTTTATTAGTTACACTTTCAATTATTATTGTTTTATTTATAATCAATCCGATTCATTACCCATGATAGCACTCCTAAAATTTATTTGGAATACTTTACTTATTATATATACATCAGAAGAATGATATTAAAATATCAAGCGGATAGGTGTTGCTCTTTGCACATTGTCTGAAAAGCTGGGCATGCTGCCAGGCTGAAGGACCACGGCCTCCACTAAGACTAGCTGTCAGGGTCAAAGTCCTTGAGCCTCGAAGTTCTGAGAGCAGAGTAGGTGTATTACCTGGAGTAAAGAAATACCATCATTGTTTCTCCTACAATAACATGGAAGATGAAACTTGGTTAAAAGTACTGTAATTAAAAAAATCTATTAAACTCAATAATTAGTTTGGAATCAGGTAATATTTTCAACAAATTAGTACTTGAAATTAACACATGCACATACATAGAAAAAACAACTATCTTGCAAGTCCTTTAACTAATTATATGAATTATAAAAATAAATGAATAAGAACCATTGGCTCTATTACATATAAGAGGACTTAGCCATTCAAAATCTTATATGTACTGCATTATTACTCTACACTTTAATGCACTAGTACTGTTACATACAGAATGAAGTCTTGTTTGTTACTTTAGTTTTAAGACAAAATCAAAAAACTTTTCAAAAACTGCATATTCATGTAGTTGTTCAAGACAATAAATACTTCGTAAAACAAAAGCAAATTTACTGTATACTAGGACCAAAATGAAGCTACAGTAGCACTTCAATAATCAGTAAAGTTAGCATTTTCTAACAATGAAAATGTATTTCTGAAAGGTACTTACCTCTATTCACACCAAAGCTATCTCGACATTGCTAACTCTTCTAAGCATTGCTAACATTTTCAACAGTGCACCAGTCTTTTATACCCTTTAATTTTTGTGCCATTGAAGGAACATGTGCTGATCATGTGACTACCCTCTGCCAATCATACGGCACCACCTATACTGGCACAGGTAGCTCTGTCTACCATTGCAGCACAACCCTCACTTTCAAGAACTGGCAGATACAAACCAGAAACACAGGCAAATCAGTGGGGAGGAAGGGTGGGAATTAGGTGAGAGAAGGTAAGTACCTATTTTTAGTGTTGGAAAATGTTAACTTTCACAGCAGTAATACCTCCTCTCACCCAAAGCTAGAATCTCACATTGCAAAGGTGGAGGGGCTGTTGAAGGCTCAAAAGTAATCAAACAAGTGGAAAACAACCACCACGAAAGAACAGGTGTGCCACAATTATAAAAGGAGGCACACCTGTGGGGTATAGTACTACTTCTGCATTGTGTTTTATTGAGTATAGCAAGTGCAGTCCATCTGGGCAGAAAACATTCAGTGGAAGTGCCTTGCATAAAATGTTCATTTCATGATCAACAACTGTTGTCTATCCGGGCAAAAAACATCTGAGAGAAACACCTTGGATTGAGCATATTATGATATTGTATAATATTAAATAAAACAATGATAGCCCTCTTCTCATGGAGTGGGTACATATGACTATGAAGTTTGTTTTATCATTCAAATCCCACTCCAGAGGAAACCTCCACCACCCACTACTCCATCGACTGGGAACTAATAGTGGCAAGGACTCCTGTGTTCCACTACAAGAAAAGGGGAGGATATGCACTGGGGAGTCTGGAGGAATGATACACTGGAGACAGTGCAATTGGTGTCTATGATTCCCTATTTTGAAAAGCAGAAAGGTCCTGATTGTAAGAATCACTGGTCAATAGGGGAAGGGCAAAAATCCCCATCTGCTTTACTCATGAAGTCCATGAGTGACAGTCCTTTATATATGATACAGGAACAAGAACCATGAAATGAGGCAGTACAAGCCAAATAACATAGTGAGTAATAAATTGGACAGAGTAGATGATCCGGATCCAAATGGGAGAACAGGTGGGAGAAGGAAGGTAAGGAAGTGGGAGGAAAGGCCCAACAACCATCCCAGGCAGCTGACGTCGTGGGAAGAAAGGCCAGATCTGGATAGCATAGAATATATGAAGAATGGTAAAGGATTTGGGGAACATTAATGCCATAAATATCAGAATGACGATGATTGCATGCCAAGAGGGGGAGGTGATAGGCCTTAAGGGAAAAAAGGTACAAGAAACACACTGCAATGGGTTCAAAGAGAGAACCAGAGAGGGCATGATGGACAACACTGAGATCCCAATCCAGCAGAACAAAGGAACACAGAGGATTGACCAGACCAAATGAATGGTAAAGGAAGGAAATAACTGTGGAAGAGAAGGCATAAGGGTTTGCAGTCGGTAACAGTACCAGTACTGGCAGTATTGGTTATAGTATATTGTATGTTGAGAATAATATCTGTTATTACATGTCCCATCTTTGGAGTTTTGACTGAATGCCTCCCCTGGTATTTCAGCTTCACTTTTCACAGAATTAGAAATGTTTGATGAGGTAGTTTTTAGTTCATACTTCAGTCGATAAACAAATCTCACCATGAAAATTGGTAATAACAGGAAATATGGGAAACTGGTGACTCCCACGCTCTGTAAGAGAACGTGAATGTGCCTATGTGACTGAATGCATGCATGATTAACCCTTAGCATGCAAGTAGGTCAAACTGCACGTCACAATGTTTTAGTGAGTTACATTCAAAATTTAATTAAACTACTTAATTATCACTATATATGAACAAACTTGACATTAAACTATAGATAATAAATTAAATTTTAATATTATATAAGTTCTTAATAATATAAGGAAATTCCCCTAGTGTAAGAATTTGGATATTTGTTCTTGAGCCATTTCCTCTTCTGGAATTTTTGTCCACCCTCGAGAAAACTATGAAATGTAACATAAAATATTCAATAATTTTGTCATAGATATTCTGAAGCTATATTTTTATATTCTTCAGTCTTATGGGGCTAAAGAGCAATCAGTGAAAATTCAGAAACCACTTTCCACGCCTACTCCGACATGCTCTAATTTACAATTTGCAAATAGATTTTTCTGAGGCTGACTCCTATTAAACTTATAACCAATATAACGCCTTGATTTCAACTGATTCATTGCTATAGTTGTCATACCATGTGGGCTTACAGATGATTAACAATTTGGTTTGATATGAAAAAATTTCCCGCAAGAACACACTGGGAAGAATAACTGAATTTCTAATAGTCCAAGTCACATAATTAGAGATGCTCGAGTACTGGCATCCTGGTACTGCCAGTACTATTGCAAACCCTGGAAGGCATTCTGTAAGTGGGAGAAAGGAAGTTATTCGACAGAGCGGCCCAATAAAGAGCAACAGTTGAAACAGACAAATCTTGAACAAACAACCAAATGAAGAACTGTAACAGGTGGGGAACAGAAAGACAGGATGGTCAGAAGCCATCGCCAATAGACCAAAGTCAGAAGTAATACCAATGCCTCTGGTACATAAACAAGGAGGAAGAGCAAATGGTACAGGCAAGGAAAGACCCTACACAAGGGGCAAGTCCCAGAGCTGAGGCACAGGACTGGACAAAAGTCCCATGTGAAGCTGGAGTGTGGTGATGTTGAGATGAAAAACATATGATTGCAACTGTCAGGGGAGCAATCAGGACAAAGATAAGGGCAGGGGCTGTGATGGGCAGGAATGGGAGGAAATTATACAAAGCCTGATGAATTGCCAAAGGTTTTAGGATGTGGAAATGAAGAATAGCCTCCTTTACTAACTACTGACCCCAAATCTTTGAAGAATCAAGTAAAGCTCCCAAACTCACCAACGAAGCATCTGTAAGCTGATGAAACTTGGGATGAGGCAGAGGAATGGGAACTCCCACTAAGGTCAATTCCATGTCGAGCCACCAAACAAGGTCGGCCCTTATCCCAGATGGAAGGGAGATGGGATAGTCCAAGGGATC